CTAGAAAAGCATCCTTTCTTCACTTGCTCGAACAGACACTTGGGACAGGTTGCATCTCCTTATGACCGGCAACGGAGCAGTAGGGCCTCAAGAACCGGGCACCACTACATCCAAACTACTCAATATCACGAGTTGATCTCCTCGAGGGACGATTATTAGGCCCCAAGGTCGAAATTCGAACAAGACAAAGTAGGATAGACAGCAAGTCGCCCGGCTCCATGACCAGCTTGCTCACAGCCTCTCGCCCACCCTTCACATTCAGCAGTTGGGTCGATCTCCTGCCATTGCCAACAGCCCTTGGTGGAATGGGATTTTTATCCTCCTCTTATATCACTTTGGCTGACCTGCGAACACGTCTGGCGAGACCGTCTCCTGTGCCACACATGCACGTTCGACAGCCCTTCACTTTGCGCTACATGTATCGCACACATGCAATGCTATGTCAGACTATATTTGTGGCATACCTCATGGTCAGGACCAATTCCTTCACTGACGGCCTTATGGTAAGAAGGGCCAGTACCTGCATCCACACGTACATCTCCAGGCTTCTAGTCTACTCCGAAACCGCAATCAGCCAGCCATACACTCAAGCAACACCAACCCAGCTAGTGTGAATCACCAGCTTCCTCTAACATGCACCACTTTTTGAACAAAACGTTCCATCACCTCAAGACCTCAAGGCCTGCAGACGGTGGTCTCCGTCGCATCTCGCCCAATGTGCGTGCTAGATGTCTGTGATCAGCACCAACCTTACAACCCGCGCCAGCGTCAGATACGCCACATCTGTACGTGCCAGCGCGGGTTACACTGAAAGATCTGTCGGGTCGTGCTCTGTGTCAGTGTTGGCAGTGCCGCAATTCCTCAGCGGTTCATCACACGCAGGATCGGTTGTTGAAAATGATGAGTGACGACACAGTCACTTCGCTGACGTTCTAGTCCTGCGCAAGTATTACCCAAAGAAAAATCGACGATGTTGCGGCTACTCCTGCCCGGTTCTAATAATGCTAAAATAGTGTACAAGTGGAAAAACTCCAGGTGTCTAAAGTCTACCAAGCATCTGGACACTCCCAGTTCACTTCAAGCTTCAAAGCGTGACAAAAGCGAGCCATCACCCTTCTCTCAGACTCTGTCTTGTTCTGATATCCATCCCATCAAGCCAATTAATCGAGCCACCCAAGTACGCCATACACTTTTCCATCTCAACTCCTGTTCCGTCAAGTTTGGTACCGGAAAGGCCATGACGTTTCCAAGTCCGACCAAAGGCGACTCTACAATCCAAGCGAGTTCGACACAATTGGTCGGACCTGATTCGCCCAGACCTGCCAACAGCACCAAGGCCGACACCGGGCAACAGTCACCGAGCCACCCTCCCAGAGTTCCACCCCTCCCACCATCACCAAACCACCATCAGCTCCTCGGAGATGCAGAAGACAAACTTTGCAAGAGAAGCCGTGCTGATTCGCTGTCTACCCCGCTAGTCCAGTCCGTTCCGCCATTGGAATTGTTATCGTCCTAATTTGGTTCCAGGCATTGCACAGAACGCGGCAGGGTAATCCCCACGGGTACAACTTCCATGACAAGGACTTCCGCATGCAGTTCACTGCTTCACCCTTGACTAACCACTCGCCATGCTTTCTGACCAGCTTCACGATTTGATCTCTTCACAATACCTATAGTCCACTTTGCAGCTCTCTTTTGCCTCTGGCCAGCAACCTAGAAGCGTCTGAGGGTTCAGGTGGGAAGAGAAGCTCGCCAAAAGCGAGAAACCTGCATTGGCCAATACCACCCAAAGCAGGGGCTTTAATTCCGAGTTGGTGAACAGTCGTTGCTTTTTCTTCCCCTTTATGCTGTGCACTTTCGTGTTCCCCGCGGCGCCAGTCAGCCCCAACAACGCGGCTCATCCGGTCAATGGTAGGGTAACCAATCACACTCATCGGTCCTTGGCATCACTCGTCTCCGTGTTTTCCACCACTTCCTGGTTCTATACTTCAACAGCCACTGCATTCTCTATGCACTCTATTACTGGATTCAAACACATTGACCTGATAGTGTCACCTGGCCCGTCCGCACCCGTAGTGTACATGGCTCGGCACGTGCCCTCAGGACAGCAGCCGGGACGATACTAACCAAGTTCGCCAAGCAAAATGTGTGGTTGACGCCCGCTGCACAACCTTCAAAACGTAGAGCACTTACACGATGTTGTAGACAGGGGTCCTGGAGAGTAACCGGAGCAGCAGTTTGCAACAGCCAACTCGCTCAATGTCTGGCACTTTACAATTTTTTCCCATCAAACACACACAACAACCACGAAGGACGAGAACCTTTTCTCGATTCTCCAAGACTAGCAAACCAGAGATCATTCCCCCTCAATATATGTATCACAATCCACAATGGAAGGATCAAGATGTCAGGGCGGAGGTCGACCGTACATACTGTAGCGTGCCCGCTTGTTTGGTGGGCTCAGGTGACCATGGAAAATTTTGAGGGTATTGGTGGCTTGGCAAGGCGAGAGACGGCGTGGCTCCGCTACCGACCCGCAACATGCCCCTCAAGGTCGGGGCGCCGATGATGCATGAAACCTGCAATACCACACCTCCTACCTTTAATTCCCCTCCTAGCCGTCCCACCGCCGCTACGAGTGAGACCGATCTCGCTGACAGCTGTTGACAACTTGACGACCTCAGTCTAAAGGAATTGGCAACCTCCTCAGAATGCCGAGATACCTTTGTTCAGACGGACGTCATTATCTGCAGACTTTGGGAATACGAGCCAGGTGTAAGCTGCGAATTATGGCCGCTTGAAGCTCACTGCCATTTTGAGCTGCCTGTGGGTGAGAGACAGTACCTCACCAATATTACATGGCTCTATAGCCCTTTTGGAGGAAAAGAAAAAAATTATACGGCTGGCAACGGCTTGAGATGCGTCATCGGATTGTGGCCAAGAATTTGTGCCTGAAGCGAGAACTCATTGACACACCAGACGCGATCGATTTCGCGGGTTTTGCTTCACACATCCGAACCATTGGAGCCTTGCAGTAGGCGAGTAGTCAAGAGTCCTACATGCCACAACCAATGCCAGATCTACCTGTGTAAGTTCCTCATTATTCGAGGTGACGAAGAAGGCTCATTCATAGCTCAGTTGAAAGCTGGAACCTGTAGGCATTGCCATTGCAAGTTGGCTCCGATGTTGGCTCCGGCGGACATGGCACTAACAGCATGTTCCTGAGACAGCTCATGCGGCCTGTCACGGGGCCTGGTCTACCATTCCTCTATGCCAAAGCATTTTAAGACTCTTTGACAAACCATCGTTGGGAGTAGAGACAGCCTGGATCCCCGTACGTAAAATTTCGAGATCTAACAGCGAAACCTACCCAGCCCTATCGGCATTCCTGTAGCAAAAGAGACCAAATCTGCTGGTATGTAATGTCAAGGGGCCATCGAGGTACACGGTAGTTGGAGACGGGCACAACGGAAGACAGGGAGCCAGCCGGTCGGCCCAAGCCCATGTAGGCAAATGGAATCGGCTGATGGTGCAGGTGCTGCAGAAAGACTTCCCAAAGCGGTATCGGGAATTTCCACTTTGCAACACAACAGGCACCATTGGCTCCAGACGAAGTCGTCCGCCAGATGCCACTGTGGGGAGCGGGTTGGCAGCCAAGCAGAATCCGTCGATGTTGGACACAAGACAAACGCTGAGGGCCGCGGGGTCCAGGTACGGTAGCCACTACATACGGAACATAGCCGTACCCAGAGAGGAGCCGGTGCTGATGTTTCGAACTTTCGTCTGGGGAAGCCTGCAACGTGGAAGATTGCGTTCGGGGGCTGGGGGTGGAACGGGGCGTCAACGTTGGTCGTCCAGAAGTCGATGGAGCCATAGGGTTTTCGGCCTAGTGTCGTCAAGGGTGACCATCTGTGCCATCCAACAAAACGGGCGCAGGTGACCCATTTCGGTCCCAGGAAGAGCTGGAAGGCGGTCCTGTGTTGTGTTGGGGGAGGGGGAAAGACACTGGATATTTGTCTTTGGCCAGACTCGCCAGACCACCCAAACTCGAGCTGCCTGGCGGGGCTCCCTTCCTCCAGTCTTTTTTTTTCTCGAGTGACAAGGGAAGCTCGTGGGACAAGCTAAACAAGCCAGGCCAGCCTAGTCTTCGTAGTGTAGCGGCGGTATGCGGGCCATTGGGGTAGGTATGACCTCCGGGGCCCTGTGGACGACATCCAGTGAGGATCCAGCGGGCATCCAGTGGACATGGGCGGGGGCTTGCGGACCCTCCACCCACTCCAGGGGGATTAACATTACATAAAACCCTCCCATTCTTCTCTTTTCTTTACACATGCGCAACCTGTCATCGACCTCCAGCTTATCTCGGGCCCTCCAAAAAACCGTCTTCAAGTCGAGCCTTGACACACGGAATCCGGGGAAACGCGGGCCTGTGTTGATTTTCCAACCCCCTTTTTCCGTACGGACGCTCGCTCTCTGCCTTGCCTTGCCTTATCGCCGGTCCCAGAAACTCGGATCCTACCCCCATTCCCCAGATTTCAGATTCGAGATTACGCACTGATTGGCGCCATCATCCCTGGTTCCCGAAGCTGTTCCTGAACCAGTCCATCTTGTTCGGAGAATTTTAGCACGAGGGAACTTTGTGAGAGAGAGGAGAAACCGAGACCTGGGGCGTGTCTTGCCATCCCATATCGAAAACTCATTCGCTGTCCCCGCCCAAGCTTTTTCCGAGTGCCGTGGTGCAGCACACGTTGGCACTCAACCCGCATTAGGTTCTTCCCCGAATCCGCTCCTGGGCAGGCCCCGCATCAACAAAGACTCACCACTACCAACCACTACCGGAACCCCCCCTGCCGAGCCCTCTACACTACCTACCTACATACTACGGCGTACCTTGCACAAGAGTCACAGTCACAGACGCTCAACACGCACAATCTCACTGGCAGAACAAACAACGTCTGCCAGTGCAACTAATTCTGTACAATCAGGAAAGGAAGAAGGACATGGCAGACAAGATGTCTATCGATAAGCACGATCCCACCAAAGACGATAGTGAAGACTCGCAGATGGAGTCTAGTCCCGAGAGAGAAAGAGAGGGAGAGGCACCTGGTGGTGAGGCCAATGGCCAAAATACAGGTACCTCAACGAAAACCGTTGTTCCCCAAGAAAACCAACAGCCCAAGCGCAAAGGCGGCCGCAAGCCTGTAAGATCCTGACTTCTTTCTTTTCTTGTTTTGGTCTTGTTTTATTTTTGTTTTCATTCTTTCATTTTGTTTATTTTTCTGTTACTTTTTTGTTATTTTGTCTTTTCTTCTTGTGGACACAAGTAGTGATGAATAACATCCTAACATATGTATAGATCTACGCCACGTCCGAGGAACGGAAGCAGAGGAACCGTCAGGCTCAAGCTGCATTCCGTGAGCGCAGGACTGAGTACATCAAGCAACTTGAAGATGCTATCCGCACCCACGAGCAAAACCTTGCCAACCTGCAGGCTGCTCACCGACATGCCGCTGACGAATGCCTGATGCTTCGTTACAAGAATTCGCTTTTGGAGCGCATCCTCCTTGAGAAAGGTACCTTTGTCTTCGACTTTCCCATGTTCGGGTTGTTTGTTTACACCCCTTTTTGGGGGGCCTTCCTCACCAATATTGATTTGCTAACTCTACCTACCCTCCTTTTCAGGCATCGATGTTCAAGCCGAGCTCCAAGCCAAGACGGGCAGTCCAAATCTTGGACCTACTCATATGCCCCAGAACTTGGTACAGCAGCCGCCGATTCAGCGGGCTCTCCTGAACAGACACCATGCCCGCAGATCGCAGTCGAGCATCGCTCCTAAACTCGAACCCGGGATTCCTATCTCTCCCCTGCCGCCTCCGGTTCATTCTCACGCATCAGCTCTATCGCCCAAGAGTCGGCCAACACCACTATCGCATTCGGCCTCACCATCAACAACAGCAACCTTTGGTTCCCATAACGGCGCATCACCGGTCACTTCCGACGGCATGATTCCCCCGATTCGCCCGCATCTCCCACCCGCCTCAGCATTAAAGATCCACCCGCCTTCGCAATTGGGCAACGGAGTGCCCGGCCTAGCTCAGCAACAACGCCAGATGCAGATGCCCGGGCTTCAGCAAGGACAGAACCACATGAGGAACAGCGTTGGCGGAAACACAAATTCGTTCTACCCCACGCCTTCCTTCCAGAATCACATTGAACAACTCGGCAAGCTGACCCGTTTTTCTCTTTCTTCCTTCCCCTTTTCCCCTCTAATAAATCTTTGTCGCCCTAGGCTCATTCCGTAATTCAGAACAGGAGTACGACGCCGCAGCCGAAATGATGGACGACCCCGGCGAGACCCCCGATACTCCAAGCGGACCTGGCCCCTATCCCGGCCAAGCATACGGCGGCGACCCCCAAGCGATGTCACTTTCGTCCCCTGTCACCTCCGGTCCTCAAGGAAACCAGCAGTCACCAATCGAAAACGGCTCTCATCAACAGCATCCTGCGTACCCGCCAATGGCCCAGCTTCTCGACCACCAATACGACTTTGGCGATCCTTTCGGTTTGAGTGCTAGCATGGCTTTTCCGACACAGTTCTCGTTCGACACCAGCAACATGCGGTAGAAGAGACGGAGAGAAAGGAGGATAATGGCATGGCTTAGGGAAAGGAGGTATCGCGGGATGTCATGGGTTTCACCGTTACCCGATTCGACAGACATCTGTTTGGAATTCGACATATTGAAAAATTTCACAAACCGGCACATCACACATAGCCGGGTCAGCAACTGCACAGCAATCGAGAAAGGAGGTTATATAAAAAAACAGGTGGGCACGACGGCCGCTTCGGATGAATGACGACAACGCGAGAAGACAAAACAACAACAAAAGTACGACCGGAAAAGTTAATGTTTTTCAAAGATACCCGTGAAGCATTGAGCACTGGGTATAATTCACAATCAGCGGGTTTTGCCCTCTTTTTATGGGAGAGACAAACCCGTCTCCCCACTCTTTTGTTCCCTCTTTTGGATATTTTTCGAGATTTTGTTTGTGATGGCCACTGGCTTTTGGTGATGCCAGCATGTTTTGATACCTTGTGTGCGTCTGCTTTCACTGTAACTGTACCACAAAACAAAAACGGTGTTCAAAATCGGATACTTTGATTCATATCACAGAAGGAAAAAGGAGTTTTCGCAATCTCATCAAAAAGCATGGTGTTTGGTCCCGGTGTTTGATATGTTCAACTGTCAGTTTCTGTCTGGGCTACCAGCGATTGAGGTTGGAAAATAGGAGGTCAGCGCAGCATGACAATCTACGGAACTGTTGACCAACGAAAAACGCGGGGAGAATACCACGAGACCGTTGAGGCTACGGCAGATGACAAGCCTCGCCATGGGGAGCAGGATGTATTGTTTACATTATCATGAACCTTCTACCTGATGTAAATAGCCATATCAACGTCACCTACCACCAGACAGGATCGTCAGGAAGTACTACTAACCAAAAGTTAAATCGAATCCAAAAGACAGACAAGCTCAATTCTTCACAGGACCACGCCGAACGATTTGCGTGACAAATTTACCTAACCCGCAAGGCCGTAGCCAGGGGCAGCGGAGACGCGTGACCGACGGCTTTGTCATCGGAAGGACGCTCCACATCCAACTCCGCCTCTAGATACGGGCCGGTACTCCATTTGCGTGGTGTAAACGGACCGGTAACAGTCAGTACTAGTGTAGTGTAGTGTAAACCCGACACGACGACACATGGCGCAGATCGACAACAGCTAGGTACTGCAGATAGCGATGATGGGTTGGGATGGTGTGAGACCGCGTGAAAGGTCAAGAAAAGGGCCAAGCGGCTTGGCGGTGAATCTAGATCTAGTTCTTCTGTCGTGCCTGGCGATGTTTTCTTTTCGGGTTGCTTTGGGATGAGTCAAAATAAAAAGGATGGAATTTGTGGTTCCCCTGCGATGGACTTGGAAGTTGAGAAGTTTGAGAAATTTGGGCCGCCTTTCTGTTGTGCGTGATGCCTCGGACTTGGAGTCATTCGATTGATTTGTTCTTGGCTTTTACCTCGCTACTTACTTCCAGGTACTGTGACTACGTATGATGGTTGATAGGAATTAATAGTAGAGAAACGAACCCCCCCCTTTACGATCGAAGGTTTTCCGCATTCATCGAGGTATTCATCTCTCACTTTTCACTTTTTCCCACACCAGTCCCTCCCCCAACTCCATCTCACTCGCAAATCTCATCATCTCCGCGGCGAAGTCGGTCCCTCAAGTGAAAAAAAAAAAAAAAAAAAAAAAAAAAAAAAAAAAAAAAAAAAAAAAAAAAAAAAAAAAAAAAAACAGAAAGAAAAGGAAAGAAAAAGAGAGAGATCGGTAGAGAAAGTCAGGGAAGCCTCGTCCGGGAATAAAGCCGGCTATAGTGCTAGATTTAGTGTGAGAACTTTCCCGTGGACCGCAGCCAGGAGATGGAAATGTTGCTGAGAAGTGAGAACAAAAAAAAAAAAAAAAACACGGTGTGGAGAAACACCGCTTACTTCTAAGGTACAGTAGCCTTCCATGTTCGGTGATAACAACCGAAGAACGGCACTGCATTTACTGCGTAGGTAGGGATCCGCTATCCTAGTCCGCAAGATCTTCAGGTTCTTGTCTTGTCTTGTCGTCCCTCTCATCTACACTAGTGTATCTCTCCACCAAACTTTTCTTCTCCACTGTTTGGGAGCCCGTAGTGCCACTGCCCACCAAAAACTTTTTGCGGCATGTGGACACTGACTGACTGACTGGCGGAGGAGGAGGAGGAGGAGGAGGACAAGAGAGTGGGGATTTCTAACAAAAGCGAGGTAGGTCCGCGGTCCGGTTGATTTGTGGAGAACTGGGTGTGCCCCGGTGGACGACCGGGGCTGAGGACCTACATATGTACACTACGGAGACGGGAACGGGGGCTGATGGAGAACGGGGAACGGTGTGGGGAGGGGGGAACAAAATGACCGCCGGTTGGGATGTGAAAAATACCGGGATGGAGGGGCGTCGGAGGGGCGCCGAGACCGCGAGGGACCATGGAGATATTAGTAGATGGGAGGAGCTGATGAAGGCTCAGTGAGCTAGATACTAAGGTTGGGTGGAGGAGCTTTGGGAGGAGGACAGAACATGGCGAATGGATGACATGTGATGATGTGAGAAAACAAGTGGATGGAAATCGCCGAATTGATGAATGGGAGTTGGGAATGAAAGTAAACAACAGGAACGAGGGTATTGGAAATTCCAGGCGAGTGTGTTCGAAGACTGTTCTGTTGTCAGAGATGTCTGTCTGGAGGCATGGAAGGTCTCAAAGCGAAGCGAATCCGAGCATAACGAGAATGTCCAAGGGAACAGACAGTTTTGTAAACACCTTTCCTCGGTTGGGAGGATGCTTGACGGCTTCAACATAGCTTGGTCGAAGTAAACTCGTTATGGTATTATTCTGTTTTGTGGCAATGATGTAGCAAATACATAGAAGAAGTGTCCCGCAAGATTAATTTGAATTTCGACCTATATCAAACGTGGCGTTAGTGCCGATGGACCTTCGTCGTGTATCAATCGCTGATACTTTCCTTCCACATCCACCAGCTATGTCCTCACATCTGAATGCTATATTGGAACGTCATTATCATTTTTCAATGCGAAAGGACTCGGGAAGTTTTTGTTAATACGTAATATTTAGATAATGGGAAAGACTACCATGTCATATATGTGGGATCAATATAGGTCCCGTCTTTGTTATAGCACGATCCAACACAAGAAGTTAGAAAGCAAAGACATTAGGACAACGAGGAGGAACCTCTAAAAGGGCCATTGCAGTTTAGCAGTTGTCGAGTATCATGGTTTTTCTCAGGACATCTACCAGTCCTTCTCTCGACTTGACAAAACCTGGGCGGTGTCTAGCCCTACAACTAACATTCTATCAATAACAAATCCAAGTGTGCAGTAATGCTGGTCCATTATTAACCGGCTATGGTTCTGAGTTCGGACCTATGGAGACATAACGTTGCGTCTCAACAGGCCGAAGGTTGCATGTGGCCCTAAACAGTTGTTTCCTTTTGATCAGCAGTACATTTCTGCTGATGTCAAGCTCATGATCCTGAGATGATAGTGAGCCTATGTGGTTTGGTTCCCCTGAAGTCACTCCCGCCTGAAAACTGCTGGTTGGGAGATGATACATTGCTGAGCTCAAGGTATCCAGTACACGATCTCCAGTATTTCCCTTTGGTGGTGTTCAGAATCATCCTCAGTCGATATCTCGGACAATGTAGATGGACGCCACGCTGGCTCCACGTGCCGAAAGAAGCTGTGACATATCGGGCGTCTTCAAAAGGTAGGATGGTTCCGTCTGGTCATGTAGCTCACGGGGTAAGCCATGACACATAGATACTCCATTCACGACCAGCATGTTGCCCCTCAACTCCCATGTGTCCCATTTGTAGTGTAAGAAGATCCTGCGAGTTCCGCGTACAAGTCACTGCATAGTCTGGACTGGTCTACCGCGTGATGACCGGTCCGGAAGGAATCATCCCCGGGTTAGGTACGGAACTGGAGTCAAACGGTGGTCTGGGGATCAGCATTGTTGAATTGATTCCAGTGAAACCTCAGTTCCACACCGGAACGCTGCTGCCTGTGGAAGTGTGCATAGTGACTTCTGGTGGAGGCGCCGATGATAGCCGTGTGTAGCCAGTGGACTTCTGTCAGCCCAGCCATCATGACATATCGACTTGCCCTTCAGCAACGCTGGGTTCTATCCGCTGAGCGTTTGGATTTGTATTCTGCACCATGAACCGTTTCCAGAAGAAACGGGATGAGTATGAATGGTACATACTTTCCTGTTCCTCCAGCCTGTCCAGTGTCGAGAGTAGTGTAGAGCCGCAGCGGGAACCCTTCCATGCATCCGCTTCGACAAGGTTCGGGTCGCCATCCTGGCCGTGCCGCTGAGGCGTCACTCGGCACGCTGACCGGTGGTCGCACAAATGTGACAAGCCCACCCTCACGCTTTCATCACTACTACCTCCTACTACCTTTGTTGATTCGGCCCTGATGCTGGGGGAATACTCTGGAAGATCGAATCGTACCCGAAGGCGGGCAGACTTAGTTGAACTCATTTCGAATTCTGGTGGACGGATTGCAGGGCAAGCCGAATGCAGGATGAGTCACACCAAAAGGAACCGTCGATCTCGTCACCAAATGACAAGCTGCCTGCTGTTGGACGACTCTCAAAGTAGGGCGCAGCTCTCTCAACACTCTACTGACCAGTTAAATGATTCCTTTTTGGGAACTTCGTTTGTGTAGCTCCATGTAGAGCCGAGCGGTATTCAGACAAGAGAGATATTCTTTGAAGTCCTCTTTCCAGGCAATCTGGAGTAAATCATGACAAGTATGTGGGCTCAGCTCGAAATTCTTGACCTTGCGCTCACAACGGACGTTGCGAGCATACTGCAAGTGAGTATCGTGAAACTTGGTGAGCTGTTCGTTGTCGGCGGAGGTGTCGAAAATGGGAGTGTCCTTCAAGCCCTTCTTTCTTTTGCTGCTTCGTAGAGCCTGCGGCCTCAATACAGTGTGATATCTTTTTGAGGTTTCAGCCATAGTGCTTGTAGGCGCAAAGTGTCCTACTTCTATGCTTTGTTTGTCAAGACCTCCACATTTGCTGGTTTGAGCGGTTGACATGTGGCTTTTGTATACATATTTGCCTGGTAATAGACTTATTGTCTGCCCGTGAACTAACACTTGTATCAAGCAAGACCTGGGAGGTACACGTTAACGAGATGGGTTTGATTGCAACTTCTACCGACCGGGTTCTCTCCCATTACCCAAAGCCTGAGCTGTGGCTTTCGCTCACAGATGATGTGCTGGCGTGTTTGACACAGTTGACAGAAGTACAAAGTCAGAAGTGCTTCATAGCAGCCTCCTCAAACATCCCTTGCCAATATCCAAGAGTAGGTGCATAATGTGGCTCAAACCTATACATGAATGATCGACAAAACTCCCGTCCTCAATACAGATTTCGTGAACAGGACGACTCCTACCGTCAACGACTCATGTGGCTGCCCCGGTGTTTCAGAGTGTTGTGGACTTTGCATAGCCTGAGAACTACACATCAGCTCAAAATGAAGCAAATCTGTCATGCCAAACAATGGCGACCAGGCTAGATAATGCTTCTTATCCAGTACATGCCCTGACTTTCTTTGGCAACGCCGTGGAGACATTCTTAGTTGTCAAGAAACACAGAGACACGCTTTTTAAAACAACGCCTGTAAGTTGACTTCAAACAATATGCCATGACTAACACGAAAGACTCGATTTTGGGTGGAAAGCAAGACACGAGAAATGCGGTAAAATCGTGAAAACGAAGATGAAGAGAGAAACAAATTGCAGAGCTACACAGTAAAGAGGGAAGTCGACTTGCATATTGATCATAATGTAATGGCTCTCCGTGGCTTATTATCCGTACAATAACGGGATTAGTTGATATAGATATCTCAACTTAATTAACCTACAGCAAAGAGACATTTGCTGATGGCCGTCTTTCATTCTTGAAGCGAGGACATGACTCTGAATGTGGTAGAGGGGATGGATTTTGCAGGTGTATGTCCATCTCCGCCTCGAAGGGCCACGAGAAGTAAACAGGTGCGTTGAAAAGGTGATCCTCAATTCAAGAATTCAGCATCCACTGGCAACTGCTTCAACTGGCGAAAGGTACTCGTCCTAATATAGTTGCCGTTTGAGCTTAAGCACCACAGCGTCCACTCTGTGCCATGACTGTGAAATGCAAACCAACGGGTGAGTCCATCCAGAACCACACTTGTGGAAACGCATGCAGAGTCGCTGTGACTTGAGAGTGATGCGGTTCAACAGACATGCGAAATCTGTACAACGTCCGACACTTTTGTATATCATGGCATATGAAAGATCTTTCCAGAGAATATTTGAAAGGAAGTGAGATATAAGTAGGAGTTGAAGAGAAAAAAAAGGTGAAAGATCCAGGCTGCATATCAAACTGCTCAAGTGGCCCGTGATGACCCTCTCCAACGTGGCCGTGGTCAAGCGCCTGTTGGCAAGCGTCAAACACAGCAACCAAAGAAATTCCTCTCCGAGAAAGACATGACGTCCGGTGTCTAACAGCACGACGGCAATGTGTGCCTTCTTCGCATGAAGTCCGTTGACAGGAAGTCCGGGGTACTTGAGGCAGGTCCGATCTCATAGAATGCTGTCACCTCGGCAGGAATGCGTCAACTTGGCATATAAAGCGGCAGCTTCCGTCAGGTGTTTGTGACGGATGTGTTTCCAGTCGTTTGTTTACCTTGGTGACGATGATGTCTAGTGAGTGGTTGTCGTCGCGACTGCAAACACTCTGCCAAGACTTGCCGGATTGGTAGCAAAGCTCAAACAGGCAAAGTTACGGCGTGTACGGATCGATACGCACGTCACATTGGTAACAAAGGGCAGGCAGCGTGCAAAGTGGTAGCCCTAACCACCAATAACAGCGGCGCACTGAAATTTCACCAAAAAGCCAAAACGGCAGTCAAAGTTGGAAGCGGGGAACAGCGGCAAAGAGGGCCAGAGCAGGGCCTTGGAGGGGAGATTTGGTGCAGGTTGGCGGGGCACGAGCGTCTCTGTGATCCGTGCCACTGCCAAAACCTGGTCCGAGCTCCCTGTGGCCCGGGAGGGATTTGCCAAAATCTTTTACGACACCACAGCGAGCATCAGACGTCGTTGTCGCTGTCGTCCGCCCCCCTACCCAACCCCGTCTAGAAGAAGCGCATTGAGTCAGGCCAACGTCCTGTCAAGCGCAAAGATGTCGGTCGCTTCCAAGGTGTGTTTATCTCTCTCCCCGTCAATCTCCGAAATGGCCGGTTTTACGGTCGGCCGAGAGCTGCATGCTGTGCAGCGGATATGGATGACCCGTGGTTGGACCTCGCCGTGAAATGAAACTGAGAGCTTCATTTTGTTTTCGAGCGAGTCCGCCAACACCGGCTCCTTGCGACAATTTGGGATCCGAAAGAGGAGGGAGGCTTGAGAATGGGGATCCAGACGCACAGCGAGCAGCAGCCGGCCACCACCGCGAAAATCTAGAGCTCAAGACAGCAAGAAACTGACCGATTGCGATTTTTTTCTCTACAGAACCTGTTCGATCTGCTCGGTTGGTTGCCCACCCTCCTGTGAAATACGAAACCCACGCGACGGCACACTCGAAATTGGCAGGGCGAGGAGGAACATTGAAAACCGCAATCCAAGGAACCACCAATACTGACGGATCGATTGTTTTCATTCAGGCAACGACGTGGAGGATAACACCGCTCCCGCCGCCCCTGCTAAGATCGTCGAGAAGACCTCGACCCACACCACCAAGCGCAACTCCGATGGCGTCGCTCCCAGCAAGGCCCCCGCTCAGGGCTCTGGCCGTCGCTCTAACTTGACCGGCAACGAGGCCGGTATGTTGATCATCCAACATGCTAACCATGGCTACCCTCTCAACTGACATCTTCGGTCCCAGCTTTCCGCGACCGTAACGCCGGCAGCGACCGCAACCGTGGCAAGCCCACTGAGGAGGGTGCTGCTCGTGGTCCCCGCGGCGGCGCTAACGCCCGCGTCCGCGGTGGTCGCGGTGGCCGTCACCCCCGTAACACCTCGGATGACCGCCACTCTAAGTCCATCCCCTCGTATGTTCCGGTCAAGCAATTTCTAGCCACAGGCACCTCCGTCCACTAACACCCTGACTAGCGGATCCGAGAAGCAGGCTGCCCTTTCCTGGGGCGCCACCGAGGGCCAGGCCGAGCTGAAGGATGAGCAGGCCGCCGAGGAGATCGCCAAGACTGAGCAGAAGGAGGCCACCACCGAGGGTGAGGCCGCCGCTGAGGCTATCCCCGAGGAGGAGGAGGAGAAGCACGTCTCCTACTCTGAGTACCTCGCCCAGCTCGCTGAGAAGAAGGCCGCTCTCGAGGCCGAGGCCGCCCTCAAGGTCCGCAAGGCCAACGAGGGTGTCGTTGAGGACAAGAAGTGGGCCAACGCCAAGCCCCTCAAGAAGGATGAGACCGAGGAGTTCATCGCTGGCTCCGCCGGCAAGAAGCAGCGCGAGCGTGAGCGCAAGGTCAAGCAGGTCCTCGAGATCGACCAGCGTTTCGTCGAGCCCGAGCGTCCCGCTCGTGGTGGTGCTCGCGGCGGCCGTGGTGGTCCCCGTGGCGATGCCGGCCGTGGCCGTGGCGCTCCCCGCGGTGCTGCCCGTGGTGCTGCCCGTGGCGGTGCCCCCCGCTCCGAGAACAAGGCTGCTCCCATCAACCCCAACGATGAGTCTGCCTTCCCCAGCCTCGGCAACTAAATGCCTTTCAATATCGGCATAACGACCATACATCGAAGCCAGACTATTCAGTCACACGGCCCCCCTTTATCTTCTCTTCGAGGCGGCAATGTCAGAATCAGGATGGCGGCGGTTTGGGATAAAAAAAGCAGCCAGCATGGGGTCGGTGTTCGTCTGTTTGGTTGCATTCACCTTTAGCGGAAAAGTGGTTTCATGAACACCGGAACCGTGAAAGAGGTTTTCCTTATCTGTCCACCACTTACCGCGGAATCGAACAAAGTAAAACTGTTCAAGCTCGAAAGTTGAAATTGCGCGCGTTCGTATGACTTGGTTCCTCTCCGTATCTATCCCCTTTCCTTCCTTGCATGAACGTTATACCTAGGATATATTCTTTTTTTTTCTTTTTACCCGGTTCAAACCGCAGACAAAGGATGGGATGGCAACCATCTAGAGGGCAAAAAGACACACACGCTATAGTCTAGGTGGCACTATGACATAGCTCGACCATCGCAAGGTCGTAAGAATGGACATAAGACAGGCTTGTTTTGGATTAGCACCCAATATGGCATCTGGCAAAGGGCATCAGGCAGAGCAGCAATGTCAAAACAAGTGTTTTGGATTCCTCTGGCAAAGGCACAACAAGCTGACACTGATCCGTGACTCGTATTCAACATTGTGTTGGTTGTTTAAGTGCACTTCTGATGTCTCACTGGACAAGTGAAGTTTTTGCTGCACCGTGATCTTGAACTGACTGGTCGCCATAGGTACACAATAAGATGGATAATCACTGACCCTGATATTGACACACAAATAGTAGACATTTTGATTCCCATCTCAAGCTTCGAACTCGGCGGTTCTTATTAACCACCCATTCGCTATCACTTAGGTCCAGGTAAACAGACCACTCTTTTATGTTCCTTTCTGTCTTGTAACAAACACCCTCTCCATCACAATCCCATGATTGCTTATCCATATTACAGCTGCCATACTATACGTAACATGACCTGTACTTTCCTCTTCCATGACAACACTATCTATCTACCTTCAATTCCACAAACCTCCAGCCTACCCGCCCACTCCCAGTATGTATATCCTCAACCTCAACCCCGAGATACCCTCCATCATCCACATGCTCCGAGGACATGACACTGCCGGAGAACTCATACTGGCTTTCATATCTCGGACAAGGACGAATCTATAGAGGCTTGGAACCCCATACTCAGTCCGACTTTGCACATCACCCAAGTAAGTGGTAATACACAATCCATTTGCGAGAGACCCAGTGATAAAGTTTCCCATTTGCTTCCTCACGATAGATGATTCTAGATCCTTGAATTCAACTCTGACATCCTGCATCTAGTTACATGCGCGCATCTGTACGTTTGATGCTCTATGTCGGTGGTACAGGCTCGTACAGAGTACTTGCATAATAAGCCCTACTTGTATGTACAGCTAGGTGCCTGAAACTTGAAGAACCTAAGTTTCTCGATTGAGGGATTATTCGGTACGTACTCGACCGAAGGTTGGAATGTCGTCTTCAGTTCCCTGGAATAGACTAGGCAGTGATTGAGATTCCGGTAGTTGGGTCGGTGAGAGTCCACGGAGCACGTCGTGTCACTCTATATTATGTCTTTCCTTGTCTGTTCTCTTTTTTTTCTCCAGGATTATGTGTTGCAAACTTGGAGAGTGGAAGGTTTGGTTCTCGGGAGATGCTAGTTTCATATGAAGATGGGAAAAGATAGTTGGATGTAGAAACTAAAGAGTGAGTCACCATGTGCCTGGAAGATTAGCAGTACTCGATCGCGGCTTCAACGGCAGTCATGCAACAGTTAACATTCCCTTAAGCATAAATAATACATATTCGCGGCAATAAGCATACATCATAACCATCATCAACGACTTCCACCCTCCCCCTATCCTCGCCCACCTGGATCACACAACCCTACAACCACCATAACATTCAAAAGCCACTCGGCACCTGATGCCCATATATCACTACTCCCCCCCTCTTCCTCTTAAACCCAAACCTTCCCGCATCAATCCCCAAACTAACCACCAACCAAACTACATTGAACCCAGCCATCATATAGAACGGCGTCCCCGTGCTCCACACATCGAACCCGTACCCGCCCGCCTTCGTCAGCAACAAGATGGCCGCGCCTCCGCACCACGAGTATACTCCCGCCACGGACCCCTTCAGCCTCACTCTTGACACCGTATCCTCTGGCAAAGCCCCCGGATTTTCTAAAAGAGGTGCTGTCTCGTTGCGGCTATCAGCCGGTTCAGTAACAGTAGCTACTTCGCTGTCCCTGTCGACGCGGTGCGGATGCGTGATCACGTTGACTACGTCCACCTTCAGCACGCCGCGTCCTAGCGAACCCAAGCTGCAGACGATGGCGCCAATTTGGCTGATGCCGATAAGTGCAGCGAGGAAGAAGACGACAGGACTGCCGCCCCGCCCATCCTTGTCTTTGTACTCGGGGCTTTTAAGGTGGGGGAAGGCAATGTAGCCGGCGATGCCAAAGGTGGTGGCTACGATGATGGGATAATTGAGTCTATTCTGCTTGGTGAACTTGCGGCTAGAGAGGTAACCGAAAAGAGGAGCGCAGAGGAGACCCATTAGTTGGGCGACGCCCGTGAGGATGGAGGAGAGGATGTAAGCCTGGCGGCATTCCTTTTTCAGCTCCGGGGAAGGGTCGTTGGGCGAGCCTTGGCAGAAGCCGTTGCGGATGAAGAAGGCGTTGATGAAGAGGGGCATGAAGAGCGAGATTGCGACGGTGGAAGCGCGGGCAACGAAGCCGCCTAGGTAGCCGAGGGCGATGTCGGAGTCGGTGAGGCCGAGCCGGATGGAGTCGCGGAGGAGGTGCAGGTAGGGGTAGACTTGTTTGGAGGAGTAAGGTGCTGAGTGGTCGTCGGTTCGGCGCTTGAGCCCGAAGAGGGTCCGGAATCCTTTGCCTTCTTCACCCTTGATGCCGCGGAGACCGAAGAAGACGAAGATGGCGACGAGGAAGGAGACGAGGCCGACGACGTAGTAACTGTACTGGACGGCTTGACCAACAGTGACGCCCTTGATGTGTCCAAACCGTGCCGGTAGAGGGAGGAAGAGCGAAAGAGCGACGAGGGCACCGCACCCTGTGAAGAGCCCTACGTAGCCAGCCAGCGCGGACGGCTTCCCACGTCCTTCGGGTTTCCCTTGGGTGCCATCAAATCTGAAGCCAGCTTCGGAGGTGCTGTGATCGCGGAACCGATCAGGGGTAATGGTAACCTCAGAAGCCACTGACGGTGTTATGCTATGCCTTGGGTTCAGAGGGGGGTTCTCGACAACATCTGTTTGCGCCTGAGTCTCGTCGGACAACGAAGGGAGGATTGCCGTAACCATGGTCGCCCTTTGTCACCAATGATAATTAGCTATTGTCGTGGAACGCCGTGCTGAACATTACTTACGCAGCGGTAGCTCCGACAGCAAAGAAAATCCTCGCCAACAGCAACTGCGGGTACACATTCGTTGCCTGAACAAACACCAGCAGCGAGAGTCCAATAATTGCATAGCCGGTGACAGCAACATGTCTTACCCCGACACGATCAGACACCAGACCCCAGATAGGGCAGGCAATCAAGGCGACAATTTCATCAACGAAGCCGAGGGTACCGACGATGTCACCGACGCCATGCTTGACGCCGATCAAGTCGGTGATGACAAAGGAGACGCTGCTGTTGAGGAAGACGAGGAAGGAAATGCTGAAGAGGCAGATGCCCAAGAGGTAGGTCAGGGCTTGGAGAGGGGTCGTCGATGAGGAGAATGGGAGATGGCGGAGGAGAAAGGCACCGAAGTCGAAGGGCTGGCCGGGTCGGCCATCGGTTGGAGCCATTGTGTGGGTTCTTTGATATGGTCTGTTTTGGTGTTTAGGTAGTCTAAGTGCTGGGATTCCTATCTGGGCTGGCTAAGCAACCTAAGAGTGTTGATGGTTCGTCGATGTGTTTTGCTTCACATCGGTCCAATGTCACACGGTTTGTGTGGTCGTATTCTTCGAGGAAACGAAGCTTACAACGGCACTGATGGAAGTTCAAGCATATCAAACAAATGTGGAATCACGAGTTATCGATTGCAACAAGGGAAGAAAGAGGTCGGAAGGGAGGAGAGTGGAAGCAGCATCGCGGAAACTGATGACGGCGCTGGCGTCAGTTGCGCCCATCCAAGGAATCATCGACCGGGGAATACAGCCAATTAGAAGAGCCCAATCCCGATTTACATATGTACACTACAACCCTGTCGCTATCAGGGCATTTGGCTCGTGCAACCCTCGTGCAACCCTTGGGTTCAGTTTTGGACCGCGTCTGGCCGCCGCGCTGCGACATCTGCCCGCCCCGCAATCCGGTTCAGAGCCCCTCCTCCGCCGGTGTTCGTCTTTTTTCCCCATCAACTTCTGGCCTCGGGGCAAAACGACATGAAATGACATGAATTGGCTACTTACGGTGCCAGATACAGAATCCCGTCTGACTGTCTGTCGTCTTGTGTCGTTTCCTCACACTACTCACTATGTAGTCCGCCCAGTCAGCCAGTACACATGCATTGTAGTGTACAAAAATGCAGGCGGGACAGTGATACGGCACATCATCTGGGGTCCCGTTCCGGGGTCCTGAATCGAGACCGGGATACCTGGCCGTCCCCGAGATCGGGATCCGCTTTATTTTTGCCGCGACCGGGGCAAGATAACAAAACCCTCTTGTCGAAGGAGAGTTGATAGTTTGTTTCAAGCAGGAGTCATACACCGCTTTGCTTTTATTTCCATTTCGGTCTTCGTTCTCGTTCTTTATTACTTTTCTCTGTTCTTGTTTTGAAGTTCATTTTGTTTGTTTGTTTGTTCTTCTCCGACATCGTCGCCGTCGAGCCGCCCGTCAGACAAAACACAAAGTGTCTTCAATCTCTTCTTGTCGCAAAGAGAGCGCACTATTCACGCCATCAAACACTCCTTGACAACACACCGTCTTCGACCCATCCCAGAGCACAAATAACCATGTCCGCCTCTCTGCCCGGCGCGCGCGCGCTTCCCGACTCGCAGTATGACTTGAGCACCTACTGGGGCCGCGTCAGGCATACCGCTGGTCTTACCGATCCGAGGTGAGCATAACCGCACCTAAACTGGGGATGGGACTACAAGGAGGGAGGAAGGAGGGACCGGAAGAGGGGGCCGTACATGCTGCTTAGATGACGCATTTGCGACCTCCTGTTGGCGCAAACTTTGGAGCAATAAAGGGCTGGATTCAGAACGGGACAAAGAATGTTTTGCTAACGTGCGCGCCATATTCGCAGGACGCTTCTCGTTGGCAATGCCGGTCTCGAGCAAGCCAAGCAGCTCCTCGTCTCCTACAAGCAGGGACAGATCAAGTCCATGACGCCCGACTTGTGGCAGGCCAAGAAGCTCGTCGACTCTACTCTCCATCCCGGTATGCTTCATCCGCCGACATACTCCTGGACGCATGCTGCGTCGACATACCTGTAACCTAAGTCATTAGGAGGGGAAAAGACACGTAGGCTTACAAAAATGACACAGATACCGGAGAAAAGGTCTTTCTCCCCTTCCGCATGTCCTGCTTCGTCCTTTCCAATTTGGTCGTAACAGCCGGCATGTTGACCCCTGGCCTTGGTGTAAGTTGAAAACACTTCCCCTTCCCTACCTCTTTCTCCCTACATCTTCCTCTTGCTAACTCTTTTCCACAACCAGAACCGCGGCACCATCGCCTGGCAAATAGCCAACCAATCCCTCAACGTTGCCATCAACTACTCCAACGCCAACAAGTCTTCGCCCCTCAGCTGGTCCAAGATCGCCCAGTCCTACTTCCTTGCCGTCGGCGCCTCCTGCGGCGTGGCCGTCGGTCTCAACAGCGTTGTCCCGCGCCTCAAGTCGCTGGCGCCCTCGACCCGTTTGATTCTCAGCCGTCTGGTTCCGTTTGCCGCCGTCGCCTCGGCCGGTGCCCTCAACGTCTTCCTCATGCGCGGCGAGGAGATGCGTACGGGTATCGACGTGTACCCGGTCCTGTCGGCCGCCGACAAGGCCAAGCTGGTCGCGGAGGGCAAGGGCGAAGGAGACGTGGAGAGCCTGGGTAAGAGCAAGAAGGCGGCGACGATTGCCGTGGCGGAGACGGCCGTCAGCAGAGTGCTCAACAGCAGCCCGATCATGGTTATCCCTCCTCTTGTGCTGGTTAGGCTCCAGGCTACCCAGTGGTTGAAGAGGAACCCGAGGTACACGACCCCGATTAACCTCGGTCTGATCTTGGTGACCAGCTATGCCGTGTTGCCGTTGGCGCTGGCGGCGTTCCCCCAGATGCAGAAGATCGAGGCGGATAGGCTGGAGGGAGAGTTCAAGGGCCGTGGTGGTCAGGATGGCTTGGTTGTTTTCAACCGTGGCATCTAAGAGGCGGCGAAGGGGAGCGGGCGGGTTCTGGTGGGATGCCTCTGTCTTGAAGATGGAGGACCGTGGAGAAGTGTGCACACAATGGGCGGCATAGCCTTGGAGTTTTCTTGTTCATATGGCAGCGGCAGCGGCGAAAGACGGCGGCGATATCCTGAAAAGCTATGTTGATTTGGTCAGTTCTTTTTTTCTGCTTCCTTGCCTCTGCCCTTCTCCGTTTGGTTGTGTTGTTCTCTCTTTTGCATTGTGGGTTTTTTCGCGTTGCTCCTGTTTCCCTTTGCTTGATGTCATAGCAATGGCTTTTTGGTCATCAAGAGGTGGGTCCTATAACCTCCTCCTCCATGCCCCAAGATACTAGTTGCGGACCCGTTGGCCAGGCATCTTTTTGACAGCCCTCGGATGTTCCCCCTTGGGTTCGGTTTCGTGGAGTTTGATCACTACAGGTATGCATGTCCAATACCGCTACAAGCTGACAATGCTGATAGCACCGGATGCAGCTAGGGCAGAGTCCAGGGCTTTACCTAGGGTCCGGCACCCGTACGCTACCTAACCTCATTCTCCTATTTCCATGACGCACACTTACAAAGGCCGTCACCCTCAAAAGAAAGCAACTTTTTCTTCGGAGCCTCTCCAAAAATCTTTCCGCAGTGCGTTTTTGTCATTCCGACTTATTTTTCTCGAAAGCAATGGGCTTTATCTCCTCCAGTTACCGGCTGGTTTTCACCGAGGTTCGGCTTACCTTGCTATGACTGCTCTTCAAACTTGGTCAATGACCACTGAGTAGCTCCTTGCCTCCGCCTTGACCCAGTAATGCTCTGTATCACCTCACCCGATGTTACTCCTCTTCTCTTTACAAGCTACAAGTTGTGCTTCGTGGCACTGCTTGGTTACTTGACACTGCTTGACATGCTTTTGCCGTGCTTCAGTCAGTTCCTTGCTTCATCGTCTCCTCACTGCAAAGTTGGGCCTGCGGCCTGGGCAGGTTGAACTGTTAACGGTTTTGGTTGGCCTTGGTCGTGTCATCGATAAGGTATCCCGACGCCAGGTGGCGCTGTCCAACCGATTGGTAATGCCCCTGAGATGCCGCAGGTTAGGCCAAGCTGGCCTTTTTCTTCAAATCTCTTGTTTGTAAAATCTTGAAACATCATGGTCGTGGTCGATTTTCGTGGTTTATCAACCGTCGGATGAAGGGCCTGTAGTCGGCAAGGCCCTGAAATTGAGGTGACCTGGAGCTATACGACCATCTGCGAGTGCTGCTGAGCTACAGCAGCAAGTTTTGTTGAGCATCTTACAAATCCCCTTTTACAACTGCCATGGCTGTTGAGTTTCGTGTTATAGCCACCGCCATGGAAGATCATCGACTTGACCTGGCCTTGGGCCTCGACTTGCATCGCGACCGGGCTTGGACCTGATTAGATTTAGTCTTTGGTCCTGGATCTAGAGGCTTGCGTGACTTGAGACAAGTCATCCTGGACCATCTTTCCTGGTCGATTCGTTTTTCCCCAGCAAGAACAGGGCCGAAAGCTTCAAGATGTAGGAGATGGCTCTAGTTTTTTACTTATACTTAATGACCTAGTTCTATGGTCCTGACTACTTGTTGTTCAGCCTCCTTGCTGTTCTTGACCTTAGCTTTTGTTTCCCGTCGACGTGAGTTGTATCACAAGCCTGTATGTTGTACTCTTCTAGCAGGATACGATGCCTGATGTCGTCGACACGAGATAATAAGCCAAAGGAGCTTTAGTGGCCGAGCAGGCGTGATACCAAATAACCAGATCTATGATTCTTCGTGCAGTTGCACATCGGCAGAAAGGTCCAGAACAGAGACCCCAGTTGGAAGCGAACGGGTGATATTTGAGAGATAACAAGAAGCAGTAGAAGCCAATTCAACCTATAGAACATGCCTGAACTGCAGAGTTGACGAAAGTCGATACCAATAGCCAAGAGGATAGTAAATGGCAAGACGAAGTTGTTGGCGGTATATTTACGAGTTTCCTTATAACAGAAGTTGCTTGATCCTATTCCATGATGGCTTCTCCCACCATGGCAATTCTATCGACGTAGAGGTGAGGGCATGGATGCTCGAATTCAATGACAACACTCGATATCTAAAAATTCGAAAATCGAAATTTTACGCTGATACCACCATTACCACGTTACCTCGATGGATTTACCACCTCCAGAACGGTAAGGCTGTAAAACGTCTCAATCAGTATTGTTAGAAAGCTTTTCAATCCATCTTTTTCTTATTGAGGAGTTATCTGCCTCGCAGCAGGAATGGAGGTATGCAGCACGACCGAAAGTCAGGAAGGAGCAGAGGACACCGTTTCTTCACATGAGCTTAGAGCAAGAGGAAGGCGTAAACATGCCCACTTTCCAGAGGGACAGGTGGTGAGTGAAGTGCAAGGACACACTTTCCCGTTTCACCGGCCCGAAGAGTACCGATATCATCGGAGATAGAAAGCAGTGGGCGGTAAGCGCGGCACAGACATAGAGGCATAGATGTAGGTTTTTCTTTTTGCCACTCCTGCAAGGACATGTCTTCCGAAACCGGGATTGACAAAGAGCTTACTATGAAAAGAACAGTTTTCTCAACTGAAAAGACTCAGAGGCATGGGAGACACTTGGCTGTGGATACGCATTTGCATCATAAGGCAACCAAACGCGACACTTTGTCATCCATCGCCTTGCATCATTCATTATCTTCGTCCGCAAAATTGTCCAACTTGCTAAATCCAGTGGGAGGGAAGAGGTTTGGTCCATATGGCCAAGTCCGCCGCAAAATCTATGAATTGCACGCATGAATAGAGCCTTTGAGAAAACAAGTCACGACCAAACCATCCAGGAGGCCGGTAGAATCCCATAATCAAAGTGGTTCAGTTGTAACGGCTAGATTCCCAACAAGCAGGCCAGTCAATGGTGTGCGAAAGTTCCAAAATCACATCCAGCAACGTTAGTGTACAGAGAACTTGTAGAAAGATATAGTGCCCATCCCCTAACATTTTTCTTCCAAAACATGTTCAACTTTCCCACTAGCGAACAACACCACAACTGGCCATAAAGATAAAGGAGACAAATGAATATCAATTTTGACCAATACATTACTAGAACCCGGACTTTCAATTGCTTTCTGCAACGAAAAGGTTGTTTTGTAGCCGAGTTCTAATCCCGAGTATTGCTTGTTAAGAGTGCGTGGGAAGTGAGGGAAGGGTGTGGGAAGTGATTGGAGGAGCTGCAGACGCACTTCGCACAAGAACTTTGAATGCCCGTCTCGGAGAACATGCATTAACGATACATGACGGTACCGACAAGTTCAAGTGACCGAAAAGTCAACCTTTTGGCAGGCAAACTACAGCCACGGGACGTGCCGTGTGCACTTGCAGGGAAAGAGCATTGGCTCCGGCGCTAGCCCTTCGTAATTTTGCTGATACATACATCTTGCAGGTACACTACTCCCCGTGACGCCATTGCACTTTCAGAACGTGAACATCTTTATTACGAACCAAACTCAAGATTTCGAAAGTCACATCGCTGGATCTCTTTTGATTCCTACTGGTGACCTAGTGGTTTGCCCGAGTGAAAAGTCACACTGCCTTGATATATGTATCTTTAAAAGAGCAGACCAAGTCCAACATGCTTCCACGCGAATCGTCGCAGGGATTGCAGAACGCAGGAACCTTAACGTCCCTTGTTCACGACTTGACGCTAGAATCCGGCCTGGGCAGTTACCATCGCGTCTTGTGTAACGTATAATATCGATAACCCTGGATATGTCTGGGCCTTGCTCATCCATTGGATGTTTCTAAATGTTGTTGTTGGCTTGTGAATGAACGTCTATCTTCTCTTTGTCAAAATCCCTACAGAAAAGGTGGTGATATTCCATTACTTGCCCCGCCATTGATTCCAGGTGCAACACCACCACCACCACCACCACCACCATTACCATTATCACAACGCATCTCGCCCCTCGCTTGTCTTCCCGTTGAGAGTGATGGTGGTGGCCTGGCCCGCCTGTCGGCAACCACCATGTCTAGGTCAGGTGCACGCACTATTACATCGGGTGTCCCTGGCCAACCAACCGATCTACAGACCCCGGCACGGCATGGCGACAGCCCCCCGTTGCTATTCGGACAGACACCAACTTCGATGAAGAAAGCGTAGTGTAGATGGAAGAAAGCGGAGAAGCTATTGCACTAGTACGCAAATTTCATCTTATGGACTCGCGGCTTGTCAAGCTAGGTTTTGCGGGCTGTTCTCATGTTGAAGGCCCAAGGGGATTTCGTGATCTCCAGACTTTGAATGTTGTACAGGACTCATGGGTGGAGATCGATCTGCTTGGGACTAAGTACTGTACATGGGGTCGAGTGGTGATTGTGAACGTCCCCAAATGCCGGGCCCTCAACCAAATGGGTCTTTTCCTTACAGCGCCACCTGGAGACCCGGGCCCCTGGGCAAGCGCCGTTCACAACCTCTGGAGGGGGGAAGGATTTATCCGAAAGTGATGGTTCGCGGACGGGTGGTGTGTGTGTGAAAATGAAACTGCCCGCTGGGAGGCAGAGCCCCCATCTTGGTCCGCAACGAACTCCGTCTGGGCTTTGAAAACACGAGGCCTGATTAAACGACTTTCGATATGTTCACAATGTCAAGAAAGCCGGAAAGACATTGTTCTTCAAACTATGTTGATATTTTGAATCAGCAGCTGATCCATGATTTTCGACGACAATGAAGTCAGGGAGGCAATGGCAGAGACCACCACTGTTGCGGAGCTGAAGGACCTGCCTGGTAGGCGGTTTCGGTATCACTGTGCGTTTGGGATTTGTCTATGTAGATGAGTGGCAGTGGGCCTTACTTCATACCATGTGTGCACTATTTGGGCGATAGTCTGACACCGACCAGGAAATGATATCTTTCCTTGTCCCATTCTGGTCCTGCACCAGAGAAGCCCTGTTTGGTGGCGGCAAGGACCCTGGGGATCCTGTTCTCATTGCTTACTACTGTGGTTGCGTGCAAAAGTAAAACCCCCTTGTCACGTACCGACAGGGATAAAAGGCTTCCGCCACTACCAAGATAGAAGCGAAGTCGCCACTATATCACTCACCACCAAATTTCTATAGAAAAGGATATCGAAGTTTATTTATCTAATCTTTTTACATTAATACTACCTTCATTATCTTCATCTTTACTATGGCTCGACCAAAAGGCTCTTCCGGGAGGAAGTAACTCTCCGTCGAAAATAGGGTAAGAATTAGAACTCTTTATTTTAATATTAAAATAAGCTAAAGCCAAATCTACTAATTACTCCCTTCTTTCTCTAAAGACTAAATTCGTTACGCCTATCAATCCGAGAGCACTGCTATTGCATCCCGGCCGGGCCGGCCGCGAGCATTAAACGATGTACAGGAACAAGAATTGGTTGAATTCGTCTGTAGCTTTAAAAAGACTAGAAGAATGCCTTTCCTTGCACTATTAATAGTTCTCTTTAGAGCTACCTTTGGAATTTGGGCAATAAAAAAAATTCTCTATCGCCTCGGTTTTCGTAAAAGGTCCGCCCAAAAAAAAACCTCTAATTTCCAATCGGATACGGAGCCTCCAACTTCAATAGGCATTAAACTACATCAATTAGACTCCTTACTAATAAGTATCTATTTTTTAGATAAATAAGATATAGGTTACCGGTAGTCCTTATTGAAAGTAATTCTGATAAGGTCTGCTTGTGCCTCAAAGAACAACCCTGCAATTGATGTAAAAGTAATAATATTATTCCTATGTAAAGCGTGATGTAGAAGGAAGAATTAGGAAGAGCGGGAGCCGCGCGCAGATGGATTAATGTAATCCATCTGGGCGGTGATTTGGGGTGGTATATGGGAATATATACATTGGTTTTCAGCAATAATTTTTTTTCAAAAATTTTCAAAGTATACAGGATTAGGGAAGTACTTTCTAAATTAAGCAAACCTAGACAATTAGTATGGAAAAAGAATAGAAAAAGAAGGAGATCGAATATAAGGAAATAGGATGGGAGATTAATAGAATATTAACTTTTCGTTAAGCTAAATAATCAATTTCTATCTCTTTAACAATTCTTAATTATACAAAATTAATTTTTAATAGTCGCTAATCATTTATCTTTATTTATTTAGTATATTAAATAATCCTTTATCCTTCTTAGGGAAATACTCATTCGTATCCCCATTTATATCCAAAAGAAAAATATAAAAAAATCCGATAGTTACCCTCGTTTTCCGGCAAAAACTAAATATTAAACTATTTAATAAATACGTAACTCTAATAAATCGTATCTAACTTAATACCTCCCATCTCAACCATCCAAAAAAATTTAAAAATTATTTACTACTCTACTTAATTAAATAACTAAGAACTACAATCCTTATATATCGTACTAATCGTAGTAGTATTAATATTATTATTATAGTTTTCTCGCTATTTCAAATTAGTAATAAGGACGAAATAAATATTAAAATTCTATACTAAATTAGTTAAAACGAATATAGGGAATTTACAATTTCCTATCCTCATTAAAGTTTACCTAATATTTATTAATAATATCTAATTAATCGTTACAAAAAGGCTTAAATAGCCTTATTTCAAAAAAGAATAAAGAACCTTAGTACCGGATGCTTATTACAATCCGGGGCCCTCGACAATAACCGACATACAGCTACATTAATAGCCGTACTACAATCGGTAATAATATAATTAATTAATAATTACCCAATTACTATTCGGATATAACGTCGGAGTACGAATAATAATATAACTAACTAATAAAAAAGATATATTGATACGGGGGGTGACCTTCATTTACGATAGTAAATAAAAATAAAGAAAGGAAGATCTTCTAAGAAGGAGGAAGGCTTCCAGCCAGCCGACTGCACGCAGTAGATATGTAGTGTAGAGAATCAGAGCACGGGCCACGGGGTAGCCCGAGCACTGCAGTCTGGATGCCTAGACTGGGCACGGCAAGGAAGCCTCTATGACAGCCCAGTTAATTTGGGCTGTTACAGCTAGTCTAAGCTATAGTACAGTAAGGTAGGGTAATCCAGGGATTCCAGGGATTCCCCTATCAAATGCCGGCTTACACAAGAAAGAAACCATCGTCCTCGATGGGCCTAGCCGTCCAGGTCTTCTCCGACAAGTTCCAGGCCTCCTCCGACAATCTCCAGGTCTCCAGCAACAAATCTGTCTGTCCGGGATGCTCCGGGGCGCATCGGGATGCACCAGCATTGTGGCAGCAAAAGGGGTCGAGGTCCGACGAATTCCGATGAGTTCCGGCAAGCTGGATAGCGGCCAGGGATTGCCAGTTGACTGACTGGCAGGCAGACCAGAGGGTTGAAGCTTGAGAGGGTGACTAGCACTCGAGAAGGTGACCGGCAGTCTCTAGCACTCGAGAGAGAGAGGCACTCAAAAGTGCTAAATCCGTTGAGAACGCTGGTTCTATGGATAAATAGAAAGAAATGAAAAAAGGGGTGTAAAGGGGAGCTCTCTGGCTTGCTGGCACTGGCTGGCAAGGGAGTTGATACGGCCGTCAGAGCTGACAAGAGCTGGCAAGAGAGCTGGCAAGGGGGGTGACAGCTGTATTAACTGGTGATGCCAGTGTTGCCAGTGTTGTTGAAGCTTGCAGTAATGGCTGCCCGCACACGAGAAAGAGAGAGCAACGTCCTCGTTGCAATTGTAGAAGCTACGGCCGTGAGGTTGCTGGTTCCGTGCCCCGAGGAAGGCCGAGTCTTAAGCAGGGAAAACAGGCTATGTGGGTCGGCACTACTCGGGGTGTAAGAAGGAAGCGCCTTCGTGGTTGTGGTTGTCGAGGAAGCAAGGCGACGGCTGGCAGTCTGACTAGCTGGCTGGAGCAGTCTGGTTGACTGGGGTATCATTAACCGTAATAATAAAGACTGCAGATTTGAGCTTTTTGAGCTGGGGGTGGCCAGTCTGGTGACAAGACTGCTTGGTTCTTGAAAGGAAGCGCTTGATAGTGGATCTTGGGATTCACGGCGACGCCCGTATCATCGTCGCAATGAGGGTAAATCAAGAAGAGTCGTGAGGTATGGAAGCTTGGCTCGCGGGAGAGCGGTCGAGAAGCTCATTGTCTTAATGATGAGGGGGAGCTTAGCTCAACAAGAGAGGGTCGAGAAGCTTGTTGTCTTTGGGAGAGTCTGGCTCGCGGTCGGTCGGGGAGTAGCGCGCTTGAGTGACTGCTTTGGCGGGGAGGGGAGAGTCCACGATCCACGATGCCATTATTACGACGAGCAAAGGTAGTGGGGAGATCTCGATGAGGGTGATGGCTGGTGACAACGGTTGACGTCTGCTTTGCTATCATCACGACGAGCAAAAGCAAAGGGGAATCGTTATCGTAGATGGTGATGACTTGACTGTCGCTAGCCTTGCTATCATCGTGGACGAGCAAAGGCAAATGAAGTCGTCGTCGTTGGTGGACTTGACTGGCCGTCGACTTCGCTGTCTCGCGACGAGCCAAAGTAGAGAAGAGTCGAAGTCGGTAGCGATATACTCAATGAAGAGGACCGCTTGGTGATTGTGGGACCAACGTTCTACACAAACGGGAGGTCGTTCAATCGGACTAGCGATATCGCGAAATAGACAATCAGCGAGCTCGTCAGAATATGGTGGTGACTGTGGGACCAACGCTACTATCCGCAACAGAAGATCGTTCAGTCGGACTGTCAATATCGCAACAACGAGGTCAGCGAGCTTGACAGAATAGGGGCGCGAGGAGTACACTGCTCGCGATGGTCACTGCCGTGGAGTTGCAGCTACCATCTGATACGGGGGGTGACCTTCATTTACGATAGTAAATAAAAATAAAGAAAGGAAGATCTTCTAAGAAGGAGGAAGGCTTCCAGCCAGCCGACTGCACGCAGTAGATATGCAGTGCAGAGAATCAGAGCACGGGCCACGGGGTAGCCCGAGCACTGCAGTCTGGATGCCTAGACTGGGCACGGCAAGGAAGCCTCTATGACAGCCTAGTTAATTTGGGCTGTTACAGCTAGTCTAAGCTATAGTACAGTAAGGTAGGGTAATCCAGGGATTCCAGGGATTCCCCTATCATATATAAACGAATATCCAAATAATAATAATTGAACGTAAATAAATACAAACGATAAATAAGCTACTAAATAGTAGTAATTCGACTATATAACCTAATAAATAAACAAATACCTAACTAATAGTACTTGAATAATAATAAGAATAAATAATTAATAGGCTATTTAAATAGTAATTTAATTAAAAGACTATTTAAGAATAATAAATAACGAAAAAATCCGTCGATAATTAAGGTAAATATTAATATTAGGCCTTTAAAAACTATTATCCTTAAATTAATAATATATAGCCCTTACCTAAATATAGAAAGATTAAATAGCCCCTAAACCCTTTTCCTCAAAAACTTATAATTAATTCTTTAAAAGGAAGGGTATTAATTATTATCTCCGAATTCCTCCTTCGTAAAATATATTAATTATTACTATTAATAAATTCTCAAGATTGTAATTATTACCGTTATTACGTTTTAGAAAACCGAGAGGAAGTAATTAATTACTATAAATCTTTATTAGAAGGGCTTTAATAACGATATTACCAACGTAGATAAGAATTACCTCTTACTAATATTAATAATAAAAGTAGTAAAAAGGAAAAAAATAGAAAATAAAAACCGAAGAAATTCCTTTTACTTAAGAAAAGAAAGAGAAAAGGGATATTAGAAGGATAAAAAGAGGAACGCTAATAAGAGATTTCTAATTAAAAAAAGTATATAAATACTTTACTAGAAGAAAAATAATTAAAAGAAGAATAAAAATCCTTAGCCGAAAAAAA